GGGCTGCTTCGCCTGCCCAGAGCAGAGGATGCATCGCGCTGTCCCTTGATCTTGCTGTGTTCCGTGCAAATTGTAGGAATCCAGATAGTTTGGCAAAGAAATGAGTTTCTCTCGCTTTGTGTTAGATCGGCGTGCAGCACTCTCGGGTACACGTTTTCTGTCTGTAAGACTGTGATTTTTTTTTTTTTTAAATGCTAAGGTAGATTCGTTGCTCCTTTGTTCTAATGCTGAATATGTCACTCTAAGCGATTCTTCGTTACAGGAGCGAGACGATCATTGTCGTAGAGGAAACGAGGAGCGAAAGCAGAGACACCCATCAGAACAAGAACACAGGAGAGACAGAAGTGGTGACAGAGATAGACACAGAGACCACTCAGACAGAAGGAAGAACCCAAACGAAAGGCCCGGAGTTCGAGGCCACGAGCGAGAGAGGGATGTTCAGAACATCCGTGAGCAGCAAGCAGAGAGGGAGTTTTATAACGAGAGAAGACGGGAGCATCGACAAAATAATGAAGGCAGTGGTGTTGACCAGAATCCAGAACTCGGGCAATCTGAGAACAAACCTAAAGAAAAAGCTTCTGTAAACAAAGAGAAGCCAAGCTTTGAACTGTCTGGTGCGCTTCTGGAGGACACCAACACTTTCCGAGGTGTTGTGATTAAGTACAGCGAGCCCCCCGAAGCTCGGATCCCGAAGAAGCGGTGGCGTCTCTATCCTTTCAAAAACGATGAGTTTCTCCCAGTCATGTACATTCACAGGCAGAGCGCTTATCTCCTGGGCAGGCACCGCAGAATCGCAGATATCCCTATTGACCATCCCTCCTGCTCCAAGCAGCACGCCGTGTTTCAGTACCGGTAAGTATTGCTCTGCCTGCTGGCGAAACAGGATTATTCGGGAACTGCTGAAGAAAAAAAAGAAAAAAAAAAACAGCCAAGCAAAACACCCCTGGATATGCACAGCTGGGAGGTGCGAGTTTGCCGTAAGTACGTTAGAGACAGACGGAATTTATGTTTGACTGCCGCATATCATCCTATCAGTAATCAAATATATGTGTAATTCCTCTCATTTAACCACGAGAGGCCTTTTAGTAAGACAAATAACACAGCAGGGTTAAACGCGGAACTGCGCGTAGATCTGAATTGGAATGAACCGGCAGGTGTAGTCGGCAGTAAAAGTATCTCAAGGAGAGGCTTTTTTCATTTGGTCTTTCACAACAAAGTCTGCTGATCTCCTCTGAAGCAGCAGGGGTTGCCTGCTGCGGAAGGCGAAGATGCTCTCTTAGGGAAGAGCCATCTGCTCTGTTGTAGGAGTTACTGTGTTGTATCGTCAGAAGTTTCAGAAGTGGTGCGGTCTGTCAGGATCACGCAGTTTCTCTTTGCTCTCATCAGACTCGTTCAGAGCTCTGCAAGTGCAGATAAGGACCTGCCGCGCCAGGGCTCGTCTGTCGGAGCACGTTTTCTGTCTCTCGCTGTTGTGATTGAAACAGTGTCTTTTGTTTTGCTAGGCTTGTGGAGTACACGCGTGCCGATGGAACCGTGGGCCGCAGAGTGAGGCCCTACATCATCGACCTGGGCTCTGGGAACGGCACTTTTCTAAATAACCAGCGGATTGAACCTCAGCGTTACTACGAACTGAAGGAGAAGGATGTGCTGAAGTTTGGGTTCAGTAGCAGGGAATATGTTCTTCTCCATGAGTCTTCAGATAAATCTGAGGCCAACACAAAGGACGATGATGAGGAGGAGGAGAAGGAGGAAGAGTCTGACAGTTAACAGATGAGAAAGAAAGTGCCGGGGGGCAGGGGAGGGAAATTCCTTGCAGTCGAACATGCATTGGGATGTAAACGTTGGGGCATCACAGCACTGATGCCTCTTACTGCCTTAAAGTCCTTTTTCTGTTGCTGATCTGTTCTTGTAGTTTATTTTGGGGGACTGCACTCGTTATTCACCTTTGATAGTTCTGGGTATCAGGAATACAGCTTTCTCCCCCCCCCCTCCTTCCCCGACAAGCAAAGGAGCAGCTGAGTGTGGAAGCCCTGATGCTGGAAATACTCCACAACTGTTGAAAGACTGTCCTCTTCTAGGAAATGATGTAAAACACAGCTGGTGTATTTAAAATTATTTTTATGAACTGTTTTGTCATAGCCCTTTGAAGATGCTACTTAACTGCAATATTAGAAAGTAACCTGAGGCATTCTGTGACGCGTCGTGTCTGGTGGTTTGCCGAGTTCCTTTGCCTGTTAGCAGTTGTGGGCAGGAGAATTTTCCAGGCTGGCTACTAAAAAGGCAGAAATGGTGCAAAGCCCCCCTTGTATCTGTCTGCTTTGGGTCGCTCGTTTGCCTGGTGACAGCTTCCAGGGACGGGCATTTCGCTGGAGTACACCACCCGAACATGGCGAGGTAATGTGAAATAGCAGTGAAACGCTTGCTGGGATTTGAGGCGAGGATGCTGTGACGTGGGGCCGAGGTCTGCGTCGGCGCCCGCTCCAGCGTCCGGTGCTGAAGCTGTCACGGGCTGGTGAGTGTCCGGGTCCAAAGCTGGGGCCTTCACCCCCGCCCCGTGAATAACTTCTCCTTGGTTTTGTGTTACGCATAAATACCTTTTATGCGGTGACATTTTTAGCCAGGGTTTGCACTATTTGAGTTTTCTTTTTATAAAAAGTTACACGAGTCACTTGTGTAAAGTAGTCTTCTCCCTGTAAAGGAAGACAGTGCTTCAGGAGGAGAAGCAGCAGTTCCACTCACTGGAAGGACTTGCATCTTGCCGATTTTTGGATGTCTTCTCCCCGTTGCTTTGTGGTATAAGAAACGTGTATTTTTCCACACTGTTTACTCATTAGCCTGGATGTTTGTTCTGTGGTCACAAGCTATTCATACCCGCTGTGTATATACGTTGTGTATACGCGTGTTGCGTATTGCATACACAGGCTAGGACCTTCCTGGTGTAAATATGGGGCATTGACGCAGGTTTTCAAACAGTTGGTAGAATGAGTTTTGACTGGGAGGATCTCCTTTATATATGCTCTAGGGGTTTTTAAATAAAGAATTTGTAAATTTAGCCCTCATTGATTCTAGTTGTAATGTTTTTCTAGTGACCCTTCTTTTTTTTTTTTTCCCCATTATGTTCCTTGCAATAGATGAACTTTCAGTACTCACTTCAGTATTAAGGACACCAAGTTTAAAGAAAAAAAAAAATAAAAATGGCATGATTTGTGTACAGAGGCTGTGACGGGGGGGCTGGACCGTGCCCTCTGCTCGGGCCTTGCCTGGTGGCCTGCTCCGTCTCCTGGCCGTTCGCCCCCGACGCAGACCGGTTCACGCTCACAAATGCGAAGCGGCTTCGTGGTTTCAGCCGGGGGCGATGGGTACCGAGAGGGCAAACCCGCCCCGCGGGTCGCGCTCGCGGAGCGCTTTGGCGAACGCGATTTAATGGGAGCTTGAACCCGGCTCAAGCAAACAGAGCTCGATGGAGCCGGCCCAGCGCCCGGAGCGGCAGTGGCCGCGTTTCGAGGGGGCTG